AATGCAAGAGATGCATAATTCATATATGACTGATTATTCAGACTGTGAATAACTGTATAGAATAATCTTCTGAGAATTCTATTAATCTGAGATATTAAACAGTATCAGATACTTCATCTGAAACTGCAATCACTGTTCTTTCATTATCTTATGAAAGAATCATAGAAAAGATCTACTGAAATCACTTAATATTTCTGATAGAATCTAGTAAGATGTGATAATTGACTTTGCTGTTAATTTATCTAAGAGTAAGAGTTATAGAAACATTCTGATCATTATAAATCAATTAAGCAAGAATGTAATATTGAAATCTTGTAATAAGATAAATACTGAACAAGTTACTGAAGTCTTTTTATAAAGCTCATTCTATCAGATATATGAATTACTGAGATTTATAGTATCAGATTAGAACTGTCAATTTATAAGCACTCTCTGAACTAGAATCTGTTAAGTTCTTAAGATTACACACTGTCTGTCAACTATCTATCACTCTGAGACTGATGATGCATTAGAATGAATAATTCAGACTATAAAGAATTATCTTTATAAGTTCTATAATCACTTATAAGATGATTGATATAACCTTCTTCTACACACAGAGATTACTATCAACAGTTAAGATACTGTTTCAACAGATATAAGTCTGTTCTTTCTTACATATGAATATCACATGAAAGTGTTGAATCTTCTAGAGATTACACAGTTTATATCAAATTTCTGCAGTTTAATTCAGATCACTGATAATATAGTAATGAAGCTCTGAGATGTCTGTGATTGAGTAGAGGTCTTCATAGCAACTGTGAAACAAAATCAAGAGAACTAAATCAATATTCACTGAGATCTCACTGAATAATATAAGATAGAAGATCTGATATAATTGAATCTTAAGAATATACAAATCACACATTCATTCTGTACACTAGATTACTGCCACATCAGATATAAAGTAATAGAAGTTCTAGATAGTCATAACTACTGTCTTAACACATCATCAGAGATTCATAATATATTTCATATAAGCTTGCTTCACTGCACTATCACTGATTCATTCTCTTCTCAGCTGATGTCTGACTGACAGCTGCCAGGCATCATAGAAGAAGATAATGAGCTTGAGTGAGAGATTGAAGATATTCTTGATAAGAGATTCCACAGTCATGGCCAGCAATATCTTATAAAATGAGTCAGTTATAATCAACTGATCTGAACTCTGAGTTTCATGTTATCTGAAACAGCAGCTCTTGACTGATGAGAACTGCTTCTGAAAAGAGAAGACTAATGTAGCAGGCTGCGCCTGATCAATCATATAGACTATTTCATTACACTTCATAGATTCTTTCATTTCTGATCACTGATCCGCGGCTGCTATAAATGTGTGTAGTGTACACTTCAATTCTTGATCATTTCTGATCACTGATTCTCGGCTGCTACAAATGTGTGTAGTGTACACTTCAATTCTCAGCCATTTTCAATCACCAATTCTCAGTCACTATGAACACATGTATATTCTTCTGCTCTGAAGCTCCACCGCGTACATCACCACATATGTGTATAAATATTCATCTCAATCACTGATTCTCACACTTTCTCTTTCTTTCCCTCTCTAACATTTTTATCTTTGTTATATAAGACCTATCAATATTATACTAATCTATTCGGTGTAGATCTCTTACACTGAAGAAGTTCATTAGTCTGAGCTGCTGTATATCATAGTTCATTTAATGTAGAAGAAGTGAAGATATCAGTATCTAGACTGGCCGCCGGGACCATGAATTTCACATTTGGTCCCATTTGGTCTGGTCTCATACATTTCTTGGCGTGAGTCCCACCAGGACCAAGCCTCAAAAAAATCTGAAAATGAACCATTTCTGAGAGAAATGATGTGAAAAATGACCAGATTTAATTCAAGAACAGTGAAATGAGAGTAATTTTCCAGAATAAACTGTGAAAGATGATCATTCTTTCAAAATCAGAATGAGACTGAAACTGAAGGTCAAAATCAGTCTCATTCAGTTCATTCAGTGATTGCTTATATAATCAGAATTTGATAATGATTATTGATAACACTCATGAAACAACTAAATACATTCTTGTGCAAGTTTATTCTTCACTTTCTTATGAAAACTACACTCCTCTGATATACTGTGATCAGAGGTATTAAACTGTCTGATAATTCCATGTTTTACAATCATGAGTTTCTTGATTGTTTCTCCTTGTAATTGTCCCTGACAATAGTGACAAATATCTTGACTTGAGTTGAACTTTCACTCCATTCCCACCCCTGTCAATGGAATTGTCAGAATATCATGCGCCATCAGTGCAACAGTTGAATATGTACTCTCAACAATTTTCCATAACTCTAGAATTGATTTGGCATGTAAATTTGTCAGATCATCTTGAAGATAGCAGTCAAATTCAGTTTTACAAGCATGTAGTTTTGCCTGATTTTTGGTTGCAATCAATGTATGCAAGTCCTGTTTCAAAGTTAGTATTATAGTCCTATGTGATATGAAGTATTATCAAAGATTGTTACTTACTAGAGAATTGTATTTCACTGTCTCCACATCTTGAACATCTGCTTGTTCAAATCTCTGATAGTTGACATTGTAGTAGTCTCAGGCTAATTTAACATATGAGTCTCATTCCTTCTCTGTTCAATCTTGAGAAGTGTAGATGTTAACTTGACAGAAGGAATCTAGTAGAGCTGCTACAGCATAGTACTCTGCAAAAGATTGTTCCATTTTACTGTAGTAATATGCCAGTTTATCCCTTGCAGCAACAATAGCCTGTGCTATAGCATTATCCCAGACTGAATTTCTTTTTAAGTGATTCAACTGCTTCTCAAGATAAGTAAATAAACTGTTATACACTCACCAGGCTGACTGCAGCATTGATGTACAAGTGATTGAGACTGTCTTTGTTGTCTTATAAAACTGAAACAGTAAATCAATCACATATTTCAACTGAGTTCACTTCATATCAGAAAGTTTCAATATCTGAATCTTTTCCTGATCAGAGTGTTGCACCCAATAATCAATCACCTGATGCAATTGAAGAGTCTGAACAGCTATCTCATATGTTGAACTTCACTGTGTTCTAACATCCTGTATCATATTCAGTGATGTGACTGATTTGTTTGTTTGTTGAATATCATGAAATCATTGTTGTTGTTTAGAAGAGGTACAAATTGCATTAGCAATGTTTTGAATCTATGATATTTAAATTATTAGTCAATCTATTCAAAATTAACAGTAGCATTATCAAAAAGTGTTATCAAAAAGCAATATCAAAAAGTGTTATCAAAAAACATTATCTTTTACAAAGTGAATGCAAAAGTTACTTGAGTAATCACTTTCATCTCATTCTCATCCCAAGAATCAGCCATCTCATTATTCTTCATCTCAATGTTAAGATTCTTTATCAGTGTTTACATCACAAGTTGAATCACATGAGCAATGCAGGAGATATGACCTTGTTTACTATTTCATAAATGCAAAGCCAATTTTTGCTCCAAGCTCTTCATCATAGTGTAGTTATTCACAGCATTGTCAGTTGTAATTGTAAGAAGACTGAGACTAATATTTCAATAGTCATTTTTAATCACAGTCATTAATACCTCTGCCATATAATCCCCAGTATGACTACTGATCAATGATTCAAATTCAATTAATGTCTCTTAATAAGTCCAGTTCTCATCAATGTAATAACATGTAACTCTTATAAATGCAAGATTGTTTGTACTAGTCCATGCATTCACTGTGAGAGACACTCTTCAATGATTCTTCAACTCTGATTCTAGATGTTGCATATTGACTTTGTAGTGTGTCTCAAGGTTGAACTGAAGACAGAATTGATGTGGAATATGAAGATTTGAATTAAGCATTTGAAGAAGTGTTCAGAATTCGGGGTTTTCAATTGATCAAAGAGAAAGATTCAGAGATATACACATACAAAGTAATTGTTCACAGAAGTTATTAGATGAGAGTTGTGAAATCAGAGTACTGATACAAGGTTGTTTTCACATGATTTTCTTCAAATTAGAAAGTTAGCATTACTAAAAATCATTATCTGATAGAGCAACTTACCAGCTCAGTAGTAATTTTCTAATTATTTTTCTTTTGTTGTCTGCATTCTGATGACTTCAGATGTCAGGAAATTCCTCCAGAGTCATGACCAGTTCATGATGAATGTTTCTGAATGAAGTTGCAGTGATTGTAGCAGAGAGATGACTCTTCAGTAATCTGCAATGCAACCTGTTGATAATTATTTCATAGTTCATCTCAATATTTGTGTTGAGTTTTTCATAAATTTCATGACCTAGAATCAGATGTGAAGAATGAAGTAATCATTCATTATGATTGAAAGAGAGCATTCTGTGTTGAATTGTAAACAACATAGACTTTGTGATTCACAGTGATTTCTTGAAGAGTTTGTGAATCTTCAATAGAAGTAAAAGAAGTGAAAGAAGTGGATTCAGAAGACATGATAATAATTTAAGAAAGATGATAATTTATTTTCAATAACTGATCACTGATGTGTGTAAGAAGAATTAATATAAGAGAAAATAATCTTGTTTCTTAGCTTAGTTATAATTTTAGTACTAACTCAGATTGAATATCATCAATGTATAAAAGTAAACAAACAATCTTGATTAATCTCTGTCATATTTCTTGAAATATATTAATATTGTGAAAGAGAGTGTTACTAAATTGCATTATCAGATAATATCATTAAAAATATATTAATATTATGAATATCAATGTTGAAAAAATGTTGATACTTATACATTATAGTGATTTGTGAATCATGATAGTTAAATATATATATATATATATATATTGTTCCTGACTTGATTACAACTTGTACAATAATTTTTAAAAACTCAAAATTAATTTCAATTATTAATAATTATGAACTTATAACTAACTAATATAAAAAGAAAAAAACTTTTTCTACTCATTATCTTTCTTCTCTTTCTCATTCTTCTTATCATTCTTCACAATTCACTTCTCATTCTTCTTCTCCTTCTCCTTCTCCTCATCTGAGGTGATAACCACCTTAAAATCTCTCTTCACTGCCTTCTCAGAGAAGGGTTTCTGCTGCTCTTCCTCAGCCAGGTCAATCTGCACCTCAAAATCCCGCATTTCCTGGTCTGCTGCCTCGGGTTCCACCTCAGTGATAAGCAGATTGACATGCTCAGAGAGCAGGGCTGTCTTCTCAATATCCTGAATCATGAAGCATATTCAAGACCTGAACAAGGCCTCAATCCTCTTCTTCTCTGTCAGCTTCTGCTAATCAATTAGAGAACAGAAGTATTATCAAAAATCATTATCTCTCAATAAATAAAAAACTTACCAGTTTTGACTTCTTTGTCTTCTGCTTCAACACTCTCTCAATCTTCTTCTGTCATCACTTATTTACAGTAACACTCTTCTTCTCTCTCTCTCTCTTCATCTTGGCCTCAAATCATTCTCAGGACTTCTCCTGGTCTCACTGCTGCTGCATGAGACTCTTCACTGTCTTCTTCTTCAATCTCTCACAGGCGGCGCCATCCACATTATTCCTATACTTAGTTCAGTCTAAATCTATCAGAAGTATTACTTAAAATCATTATCATTCTGCTCTCTTACAGAGCCTCTTCAAGGTATTATAACATGTCTTGCAATCTGTCTCTTCTCACTTGAATACCTCCTTCTTCTCTCCCTTCAATCTGTGACAGTGCTCACACGCCTTGATGGTCCGCAGGACTGCAGAATATTTGAAGAGAGATGACATGATTAGTTTCAGTGAGCGTTGAAGAGAGGTGAAGGCAGGAGAGGCGGCCAGAAATGATATGATAATGATGATGATGATGATGATGATGATGGTGATGATGATGATGATAATGATGATAGTGATAGTGATGATGATGATGATGATGATGATGATGATGATGATGATGATAATGATGATAATGAAAGAGAGAGTGCATTGAAATATATTACTGACTTATCAAATATAAAGAGACTCAAAGAAAATATTAACAGCTTTCAGCAATGTACAGAAACAGCTACAGTGTTGCATAGCAACATCATCTTCATTCAATACATGCACTGTTGATATTCTTTGTATACAGTTATCATATAATCTGTATCAGAGATACATGCAGAAAACAGATCTTTGTTGCTAGGACAAATGATTGCAGCAATTCTCTGTTTTCATATCATAAAGATAAGTTATTCTCATTTCTTTCTTCTCTCTTTTCTCTTCTTCAATCAATCACTAATTTCAAGCTAATATGAAAACTATTAAAACACTCTCAGAAACCCTCAAATTGAAGAGTATAGACTAATCAAATTTCAAATGCAGAAGAAATCAAATTATCTTCTACAGATTCAATTACTCATCCCCTCTCAAATAAAACAGCAGTCATGTCCCCTCTCCCCCCCCAATCAAATGAAACATGGCCCGTGAAAAGTGAGTACCACACCAGGTCATAATGACCAACACAGCCTCAGCATGCAGGGCTGCATATGCACAGCACATGCTGGACTGAGAGACTGCATGGGTTGCAAACCAGCAGCAGCATTCCAGAGAGAGCTGTGCAGTGTGGAAAAGTCACAACCCTCAGCCACATGTGCAGAGAGTGGATTGCCACAGTAAGTGCATGTGCATTGAAGTAACACTTTTTGATAACACTCAGTCTCTGATATGATGAAAATAGAGTCTCTTCATGAGATCTGTTTCTACCAGAAGTCTGAGAATCTTATATTTCTCAAGGCCACCTTCACGCGCCTTGTCCATGAAATCAATGAGAAGAATCATCAATTCCAGCATTCTGTCCTTGATATTATTCAAGTGACAGCAGAGTCCACCCTGACCACACTTTTTAAGTGTATATTTTCTAATTATTCACATTTATATAGATATATACTGATTATTTGTTAGATGATGTTAAGACAATGACTCATCATGACTGTGTTACTCTCACTGTGAGAGATACATGATTGATGATGAACATTGCAAAGACTCTGAAGAGTGAGTATTTTAAGAATGCTGCAGCCCTGCAATCTTGATTTTTTTTTGTTTTTATTTTTTGTTTTTTTCTTTTTCTTTTCTTTTTTTTTTTTTATTTTTCTTTCTCTTTCTGTCTCTTTTTTTCTTTCTCTTCTTTTTTTCTTTCTCTTTTTTTTTTTTTTTTTTTTTTTTATTGTGATTTTTTCTTGTTATTTTGTTATTTGTTTTTTTATTATTTTTTGTATTGTACATTTTTTTTTTTAATTAAAATAATATTGATTATGATCTGTGTTCAGAAAAGTAACAATATTTGATAACACTCTCTATTGAATTTTCAACAAATGAGCACTATGTTATGATATTATGTAAGTGAGAAATGATTTCATGATTCTATTTGATGCCATTTTCAATAATGAGATCAGAATGAAAATGTGACTAAGAATTCAAACATATTCTTTATCTGAGACTAGATTTTTATTTGAAAAGTGAATCTGAGATCTTTAATATTTGAAATAATGGGATTTGAGATCAATGTGATGAACACAAACCATGATCAGAAGTAATGCTTTTAGGCAACATGACAACTGTAAAGTTTGGTCCTGGTCTCAGACACGGTCACACGGTCAGTCTATCAGTATCAGTATCAGTTCAGAGAGAGATTGTTCTAATCAGAGAAGTATATATAATGTCATAAGTTATTCTATTATAAGTTGTTCTATCTTAATCAATCAATATCTTTGAATCTAAGAGCTAGTGCTCTTGATTCATTCAACAGATATCTGTTACATTAAAGAGTATATCTTACTCTTATTATAAGAGAACATCTGTCATTGAGTTCTGACTATCAGAACAGTAGTGTATTGTAAAATAAAAGCAGCTTAAGAATTCAGATCATTGTATCTGTCATTCAGTAAGTTTACAGATAGTTATAAAGTACTTAAGATTCTTATAATCTGTGATTATCTTAAATTCAGAGACACTTCAGAGTTTGAAGTCTCATTCTTCTAGATAGTGTATGATTGTGAGAACTTTCTTATCATAGATCTCATAATTGCATTCAGCAGAACTCAATTTCTTAGACATGAAGATACATAATTATAAGACATTTTTATTATTATATTACAATATAGCTTCTTCTGTGATGTAGTTAGAGAAATCAGCTTCAATAACTGTTTCATAATCAGAATTAAATACTATTAGCAGAGAGATATTGATGAATATCTTCTTCATCTATGTGAATGCAGCTTCAGTGTCTGCTAATCACTGAAATACTGAGTTCTTCTTAATAAGTTCTGTAAGTGATTTTATAATATCTGAGAAGTTCTGTATAAATCATCAGTAGAAGTTAGTAAATTCAATGAAGCTTTATATATCTTTCACAGTATACAGAGCTTCTCATTCAAGAATAGCAGAGACTTTTTCAGAATTTATTCAAATTCTCTTATCAGCTTCTGTGATATAATTCAGATACTTGATACTCTTGACTTTAAAATCATACTTGTTAATATCTATTGATAGTTCTGCTTCTTATAATTATTGTAATACTCTTCATACATGTTCTTGATATTTCTTTCTGAATCTGTCAGTGAAGATGAGAATGTTATCAAGATATACAGATACAAATTCATCAAGGAAATCTCAGAGTGCTTAGTTAATATACTTTTAAAATATACTAGAGGCATTAGTCAATTCAAAGAGAATAACTACTCATTCAAAGAGATTATAACATGTCTGAAATACTGTAAGTCATTTATCTTCTTCAGTGATACAGATCTTATGAAACACAGCAATAATATCTAGTTTTATAAATCATTGAGCTTGTTCAATATAAGCTAGAGTCACATTAATAAGAGATAGTGAATAGCAGTCTTTCTTTATTAATCTGTTCAGTTCTCAATAGTTCACACAGAATCAGAGTTCTTCATCTGATTTCTTTATGAAGAGAATAGAGACTGCAGTAGAAGAATTGCTAATATATATAAATTCTTTATTCAATAGATTATTAAGTGTATTTTAAAGAAGAAGAAGTTCATCTCAGAATATGTTATAAAGAGAGTCTTATAACAGTTCAGAATTCTTATCATTCTTCTTCTCTAACTTAATACTGTAGTTCACTTCTGAACCTCATAAGAGAGATAGATTTATAACATTATTATCTTATCAGAAGACATTTAGATATTCATGATATTATTAAGAGAGTTTCATACAAGAATCTGTTATTGTGACACAGAATAACTTTTCTAGAGTCTTTTTAATATTAATCAGACTGATGAAATAGATTAATACATAATTCTACTATCAGTAATTCTTTCAGTGACTTCTTTTTCTGAGTATTTCATAGATGTTGACAGAGATCTGTGCCAGATTCATAGTCTTATAAATATCATCTTCATGAACTCTATCATTGTTAAGAAATATTAAACTTCTGTTTCAAGTATTTAATAAGATGCCTTGTTCAGATAGTCAGATAAGTTCTAACATAAGATTATAATTGAGATTATTAACTTCATATACATAGATATCTTCACACTGATATTCTCTGATATCTATATTTAGTTTCATTATATAATGAATGTAAACATCTTTTGAATCATTGAATTCTGCAAGAAGTTAAGATTTAAATAGAGAGATACACTGAAGATTATAATATCTTACAACTGAAGATTTAATCATTGCATAGTAATATAGACTGCTGTCTATCATAACTTTCATATTATACATATTATTGATCACAGTAGATATAAGAATAACATTTATTATCATTTTCTCTTCAAATTATTGTCATCTGACCTCTTCAAGCTTCTGTTTGCAAATTTGAACAGAAGCTAATCTTTTCTCTATTTCATTGAGACATTTTTATAGTTATCTTCCGAATCTTTCTTCACTACAATGTAATTAATACAGACAGACACTGATCTATTCTTTGAATGAGAAGATACATAGATTAATCAGCAGTTGACAGTGATGTGTTCTGATCAGTTACAATTGATGTATACTTCATATTGATGTCAGTCAGTGACTTCTTCAGAAGTGATCTCAGAGACTCAGAAGTCTGATCAGATAGCAGAGACTCTTACTTGTGTATAGATCTTTGAATCTACTCAGTTTATAATGTCTGTGTCATTGTTATCATTTCTAGACACAGATGTATAAGTGACTAAGATGTAATATCTTCTGTCACTGTTCTGTATACTCTTGAGCTTGATAAGACAGTCATTTAATATCTGAAGTTATGTAC